AAGGATGAGAGTTTGATCTTACCTTGTTGTTCGTAGTCACAGTTGACTTCTGGCTGATGTCTCAGGTCAGTTTGTGCCTTTCTCGTCTCTGCCCTGTGGTCTTCTTATATACTGCACTCTCCTAATCCCCCTGACATGCTCCTCTATAATTTTCTGACCTCTCTGCTCTATTAGATTAGGAGGGGGCTCAAAAATGTGTGTCGCACCATGTGAAGATGTCTGCAGGATTACATAATGAAGCATCTCTGAAAAAACTTGACAGGATTTACTGGACAATATGAGTTGTTTTGGGATCTGATGTATGAATAATCTTTTCTGTATTGGTGCATTTAAAAAAATAATTTAATGTAATTGTAAAATTCTATTCTACAACAATAATACATTCAGCTCCAAGTTGGGTTTTAAAACATAAAGAGGGGATTTTTAAGCTCATTCTTGATCTTGAAAATGATAATTTGAAAGAAAAATCTGAACTCAAGGTCCACTTACTACTCCAGAGCTTTCACCCACATCCTTAATCAGCTGATCAAGTCCCACGTCTTGATCAGCTGATTAAAAAATGAGACAAATCTAGAGAGGGGACTTTCAGTAGACGTTTTGAGTTAAATAACATAAAGTGAAGATATGGGGGCTAAATTGGGGGCTATAACAAAATAATTGAGTGTATCTTAATATTTTACCACTCTCAGTAATTTCTTTTCATGTCACATAAATAATTGTTCAGTTAAGTGGGAGACATTGTCTTAATATTGGCCCCCTTTGACCTGAGTCTATGCCATGAGGCAAGGGATTAACAGCTGAAGTGTTCTTTATTTGTCACTAAGTGATTGATCACTTGGGCTCAGTGCTCTTACATCACATGTTCCAGATCCTCGTGCTGCTTCTGTCAACACGTTTGTTTACAAAAACGTGAAAGTACATCCCAGTCTTCAGTATTAAACAATTGCACTGTTTTCTGTGTTGCAGGGCACTGTCATATTATGAGTGGAGCTACTGTGAGGCTTCATGCAATATTTGGAAACTGCTGCGTAATTAAACTGCACATATAAAACTGGGAACTCAAACCTTTACATTCTTTCCAGGAGGATTCTACGAAGCAGGACTGGGGCCACATGTGAAAATCTTATTTGAGTTCTGAGAATAAAGTCAGAATTCTGATTTTAAACTCAGAACTCAGATAACTTCACATATGGCCCTAATCCTTCTTCTGATATTCCACACCATCAGACATATACGTTTTTAATAAATGTAGAATTCAATAGGGGGAAAAGTTCTTGGATCCTTTATTCAAGTAATTGTAAATACTATAGTCTAAAGGTAAGTAAAGTAGTATGTGTAAAACCTACCCAGTTGCCAGAATAAATGTTGGCATTATATCTTTCTGCAAATCCCGGATATGTTACATTAATACATTTATACATGTAGCAGATATGTTTATTTTGTTTTATTTTATTTTGTTTTATTTTGTGACAATGCTGTGGATAATGTCTGGTTAGGTTTAGGCACAACTACAACTCGATTTTTATTAGGAAACATTGTGTTTTGGCTCAAAATGCCTGGTTTGGTTGCTACAAATAAAACTGGAAATGTCCCAACCTGTCATTAAAAATTACTCTGATTTGGTGTTTGTTGGTCTCTAACAGTGGTCTGCCACTGTCTGCTGCTCTCACTTAGGTGTCACACCATCCCCTTCTCCTCCTGATGAGAATCTCATCTCATATACATGTAATCTGCACTACGTCACCTTAGAAATGTTGATATGATATACAGTACAGGCCAAAAGTTTGGACACACCTTCTCATTCAATGCGTTTTCTTTATTTTCATGACTATTTACATTGTAGATTCTCACTGAAGGCATCAAAACTATGAATGAACACATGTGGAGTTATGTACTTAACAAAAAAAGGTGAAATAACTGAAAACATGTTTTATATTCTAGTTTCTTCAAAATAGCCACCCTTTGCTCTGATTACTGCTTTGCACACTCTTGGCATTCTCTCCATGAGCTTCAAGAGGTAGTCACCTGAAATGGTTTCCACTTCACAGGTGTGCCTTATCAGGGTTAATTAGTGGAATTTCTTGCTTTATCAATGGGGTTGGGACCATCAGTTGTGTTGTGCAGAAGTCAGTTTAATACACAGCCTACAGCCCTATTGGACAACTGTTAAAATTCATATTATGGCAAGAACCAATCAGCTAACTAAAGAAAAACCAGTGGCCATCATTACTTTAAGAAATGAAGGTCAGTCAGTCTGGAAAATTGCAAAAACTTTAAATGTGTCCCCAAGTGGAGTCGCAAAAACCATCAAGCGCTACAACGAAACTGGCACACATGAGGACCGACCCAGGAAAGGAAGACCAAGAGTCATCTCTTCTTCTCAGGATAAGTTCATCCGAGTCACCAGCCTCAGAAATTGCAAGTTAACAGCAGCTCAGATCAGAGACCAGATGAATGCCACACAGAGTTCTAGCAGCAGACCCATCTCTAGAACAACTGTTAAGAGGAGACTGCGCTAATCAGGCCTTCATGGTCAAATAGCTGCTAGGAAACCACTGCTAAGGAGAGGCAACAAGCAGAAGAGATTTGTTTGGGCCAAGAAACACAAGGAATGGACATTAGACCAGTGGAAATCTGTGCTTTGGTCTGATGAGTCCAAATTTGAGATCTTTGGTTCCAACCGCCGTGTCTTTGTGAGACGCAGAAAAGGTGAACGGATGGATTCCACATGCCTGGTTCCCACTGTGAAGCATGGAGGAGGAGGTGTGATGGTGTGGGGGTGTTTTGCTGGTGACACTGTTGGGGATTTATTCAAAATTGAAGGCACACTGAACCAGCATGGCTACCACAGCATCCTGCAGCGACATGCCATCCCATCCGGTTTGCGTTTAGTTGGACGATCATTTATTTTTCAACAGGACAATGACCCCAAACACACCTCCAGGCTGTGTAAGGGCTATTTGACCAAGAAGGAGAGTGATGGAGTGCTGCGGCAGATGACCTGGCCTCCACAGTCACTGGACCTGATCCCAGTCGAGATGGTTTGGGGTGAGCTGGACCGCAGAGTGAAGGCAAAGGGGCCAACAAGTGCTAAACACCTCTGGGAACTCCTTCAAGACTGTTGGAAAACCATTTCAGGTGACTACCTCTTGAAGCTCATGGAGAGAATGCCAAGAGTGTGCAAAGCAGTAATCAGAGCAAAGGGTGGCTATTTTGAAGAAACTAGAATATAAAACATGTTTTCAGTTATTTCACCTTTTTTTGTTAAGTACATAACTCCACATGTGTTCATTCATAGTTTTGATGCCTTCAGTGAGAATCTACAATGTAAATAGTCATGAAAATAAAGAAAACGCATTGAATGAGAAGGTGTGTCCAAACTTTTGGCCTGTACTGTATGTATAAAAGGTACAAATGTAACTTGTCTGTGGTTTGCAGAAACATACTGTGCCAAAATGTTCTTCTGGCAACTGGGCAGGTTAAAGTCCTGACTGTAAAATATTAAAAAAGTAAAAGTAGAGAAGTATCAACATCAAGATGTACATAAAGTGTTGAAGTAAAAGTACTCATTATGTAGGATGCCTCCATTCTATTTTCCCCCCTAATGAATGCATATAACATAAGGCTGCATGATATGCAAAATAAATAAATCTAAAAAAAATCATATTGCAATTATTCTGACAGAAATTGTGATTGTGATATGAGTTAGATATTTGTGGAAATTATACTTTTTGCATTTCATTTTCACCGAAAAAAAATAAAAATGATAATGATGTAATTGTGCTGCAGTGTCTACCAAACAATCATGTTCCATTTACGTCTGGAATGTGCTTCATTTATAATGGTGTGCTGTGACACATTTTACCTTTATCAAAAAAATTGCAGCTCCTGTAATTTGGACATTGCACGTGGCCATGTTGCGATTTTAATAATATTTCAGTTCATTGTGAAACCCTAATTTAAGTGTATTTTTATTGTTGTAGTTTGTCAATGTGGAGACAACTTTAGATACTTTGTATACTACTGGATGTTGAGGCAGTATAGTACAGCCAGAGCCGTAGGATAGACATAAAATTAGACATGTCTTTAAGGGGTCTGAGTACAGCAACATATCACACATCATATCATATCAAGTTAAATAAATGTATTGGAGTCAAAAGTCCAGTATTATCCTCTGAGTTGTAATGGAGTACAAAGTGGTAGAAACCGCTTAAGTAAAGTACAAGTATGTCAAAGCTGTACCTAAGTACAGTACATGCGTAAATGTACTTCATCCTGGGAGTGGGATGCTACACAGGAAAAACAAAGGAAAAAGGATGGGAGCTGTCAAATGCAGAAAAACAAGAAAATGTCTTATTAATTTATTATTTATAAAAGGCTTCAAAGCAGCTGCTGATTCTAATCTTTTTCAGTTCTTCAAGTTATTGATTGTCTGTATTTCTTCACATTCAGCATGTTAATACAGTTGATCTCCTTCTTGTTTTGCTTTTCTTATCTCTGACCTGTTTGGGAAGCCTTTCCCCACTGTTTTTGTGGATATACAATAAATACAGGGGTGACCCACGTAATTCATGACACATACTGTAAATAAACTATATTCAAAATGAACAGTTCCTTTTACTGTAATTTGTAGAATTTGATGCAGAGGGGTTCAGTATGTGTGGGTAAAATCCTGTGGGCTGTGACGGATAGACAGACAGACAATGACTATCTTTCATCAGATTTTTTGGTTCCAGCTTGATAGCCATTGTAATTACTGTCACTCACTCCTGCCAATAAATGACACCTCCATAATTCACTTCAATTCACGCGTGACAGATATGTCTACACTTACTTGAAAAACACCTTGTATTTATATCTCGCTTTCCTTTATCTCGTCTATTCGTGGCTAAGCTGGCATAGAAGAGCACAGAACACAGTTGGCACATTAAACAATGGCAGGACATCTGAGGGGATTAGCAACTCGGAGGACTTTAAAAGGGGAGACTCAGACAGAGAGAGAGGAATACCACAATCAACAAACGAGAGGCTCATCAGACAGCATCAGAAAAACACAGACTGAGACTTCAGCAAAAAGGTAACTGCAATTTTCTCAGCTCTGGCACAGGGAGGCTTCTACTGCACTGATAACACGTAATGGTCCAGAGGAGAGAAAGACAGACAGAGTGATGGCTTTATGGTGTTTTTCTTGAATATCATGGCTGAAACAGAGCTGAAATGAGATCTGAGGATTTTACTGAGAAGACTTCATACAGAGTAACTCTCTGTGCTGGCCTTCTTGGTGGTACTGCCTGAGGCCTCGTCTCTGTTTCTTTAAAATGTTCTCTTTTTACTGGATGGATTTGCATGAACCCAGAGGAGTTCACTGGTTATACGTTTTTTTAAATGTATTTTGTTTCACTGTAGGGGAGATTATTGGTTGGTAGCAGAGGAATCTGCAGAGAAATTTATTTGTATGGTCCCTTCCAGCAGCAAGGCCACTCAAAGTGTTGTGCATTAGACAAAAAAGGTATCAAGTTAAGATTACACAAGACAATATAAAAAGACACATGTAAATAGGATTTCAGAGAAAAGAAATTGAATCAAAGTTACGGTACAGTGCAAGATATGAATAAATTGTCCTACGTTCATTTTCATAAAAAGCAGAAAAGTTTAAAAGAGGTGGGATGATCTCATATAATTAATTATCTAATTCTTCTTTTTCAGCAACCAATCAAAATGGCTGACGTCGCCGTTGCAGCTCCTGCTGACAAGAAAGCACCTCCCAAATTTAAGCAGAGGACTGTACGCACCTTTAAGAGCAAGGCGCCTAAACCAGGCCAGAAGGGGTGAGATGGACTTATGATCACACACACAAACACACAAAATATACACTTCTTCTCTTTATTTGCCATTTAAGAACAGCAAAACCAAATACTTGTATCTCTCAGTTTGTACTCATCAGATGTTTTTTGTCTTATGTGCTCAGATTCGGAGACGACATCCCCGGCATGGAGGGTCTTGGCACTGACATCACAGTGATTTGCCCATGGGAAGCCTTTGGTGACATGGAGCTCAGTGACCTGGCAAAATATGGAATTATTTAGCCGTCTTCCCTCTGCCTTTACCCCCACTGCCACTATTGTCCCTCGTGTATTCCAACTGTTGGCTGAACAGCTGAAGATCCTGTCCTTGTGTGCGTGCTCTAGAGAGGAGGCAGCTTTGGATTATTTAGAGGTTTGACCTGGAAAAAAAGAAATCCAGTTCTCTCTCTTGTCTCATGCACTTTATCTCCCCCTGCCTTCCCAACGATTCTCCATTGTCTTCATGACAAGTGGTGTCAGCAGCTCTGGACCTGAGCTTGCACTTTCCACAGAGACAAAAAAAAAGGAAATGGAGTTCATATTTTGTAAATATGAAAGAGGGTTTTATATTTGTTACTGTGGTGTCATGGTTATGTTTTAATGCTCTACTCTCCTCTCCTTCAACCTCTTCTTCTCAAGGCTGCTGAATCAACAGGCACAGATGTCTATGTTGTGTATTAGGTCAAATTATATTTTTTGGGAAAGTCTATAATTCCCTCAACTCTTCAGTGAAACAGATCATCCATCTATTTTGTCAGTAGAGAGAAACAACTCTATAAACACAATAAATGTTTATTTTCCATACAATATCTGTCTTTGTGTGCTTCCTATGATTAACACCTCACACTCAACATGAAAACTAAAACAATAACCACCAAAAAAACCCTACATATACTGGCTTCTTGTGTCTCTCACTGTGGACTTATTCAATGCACATGATATAATTTGTACACAATAAGTCAATAACTCAATTACTGATGCTTGTTGCTGCTTAGCTGCCAGACTTGCCTATTATTTTTTCTTATATTATTCTCTCAAATTGTAAAATAAATAAATAAATCTGGCTTCAAGGACAGAGGCTGAGTGAGAATAGAAGAAGATGACTGACGCTATTGTTGCCATGGCAACTAAAGCGGCTTATTCACAGTAGCTACAGGGTCTATTGTTTGTCCTCCACATGCAAAGAGAGAGATTTAATAAAGAGGATGTTTCAATGTCAATACAAACAACACATGCCGATAAACATCATGCTCTCAGTTTTTTTACTTTACTCTTTTACATAAGAATTAACTATTAACATAACTGCTGCTGTTGAACCTGGGCTGCTACAAATCCAATACTGCTGTACACCCGTCAACCATACAAAAATCCCCATCCTTATGCATTTATATAGTGCTTACTCTATTCTCTCGTATCCCGTATCTCATTTATTTTTCTCATACAGTAGGCTAGGTCATGCTATTATAATCAGCTGTTTCAAAACCTGGGTTGGCCTTCACTGAGTTGGTTTAATTCTGACCTTTTATAAAGAATCTACTGAGTCACCATACTGTAGGTAATCACTTGTCCTCCTCTACTCACATTACCTGTGGTGTGCCACAAGGTTCAGTTTTAGGTCCACTTTTAATTTCTATCTACATGCTCGCACACAGCCTAATCATGCATCCACTACCCAGACGACAGACAGATATACCTCATGACCTGAGACTTTAGATTGTCTCTGTGATGTCAACTGTTGGGTGTCACAAAATATTCTTAAACAAAATAACTCCAGATCAGAAGTCATACTGTTCTCACCCTCAAACCCTGCAGTCACATTGTGAATTCTTTTGGTTCCCTGTCTGCTAATCTGAAGCCCACTGCCAGAAGATTCAGATTCAGATTTCAGCCCTGCTTCCTCCAAATAAGAACCATCTTTGGAATTAAACCAATACTCTCTCACTCAGACCTGGAAAAAGTTATTCACACATGTACTGTATCTTCTCCAGACTTGACTACTGCAACTCCCTCCTTTCTGGCATCAACCAAAATCCACTCTTTCAACTCCAACTAATTCAGACTACAGCACCTATGGCTTCTCGTTTGTTTTAACAGACATTACATCACCCATATCCTCACTTCTCTCTATTGGCTCCCTGTGCATTTCAGAATTGATTTTAAGATATAACTGATTACTCTTAAAGCTCATCTGGGCCTGACCCCAGGCTAAATGACAGAAATGTTGATCCCATATGAACCTTAGGTCCTCAGCTGGGGTCTTTCCTGCCATTCCAGCGCTGAGGCTTAAATCTGGGGGTGACCATGCTTTTGCCATTAGACCCTCTCTTGTCCAATATATTACATAGTATCGTTGACGCTGTATTAACCTATGTATGACCAGTGAAGGAAAAGTGAACTGAACTAAAATGTTTTTAATATTTCTAAGGTGGCATTACTTTGTTTACCCCATCCCAGATAGACTATATTGTACAGTGGAGGAAGAGTATTAAAATCTTATAGAGACACTCAACAGATTTTAAACACATCAGTTCAGTGTAGTTTACTCATCAGGATGATTCTCAGTCTGTGAAAATGGGAAAAAAGAAAGTACTTGTAATTTGGGCCCTAATGTTATGTTACATAATATATTATTGCATTAAATTATTACTGATGCATTACAGTTTAAATACCATTCGTTCTGTTGTAGCATAAACTGGAAATAGTCAAGAAAAGTACAAGTATCTTACAGTTGTATTTAAACTCTACACTCCATCACCACTAATATGTTATCTACTCAATGCAATATTTAGCAGCAACATTGTTGGTGGTGCTAATGTGTGTGTGTGTGTGTGTGTGTGTGTGTGTGTTGCCTCCAGATATCATATGTGTCACTGCACCAATTAGCTGTTGGAGCCTCTGAACAGCAGGCAGACAAAGGGACAGTGCCTCGTACAATGTGGCATAAATATAGCAAACATCAGTTCAAAACCTTTGGCCACTTCATTAGCAGGGACCCGAGGGGGCAGGCGTGGGGGCAGTGGGTGAACACAGTAGAGAACATTTGTACAAGGTCTGTTTGAAATGGATTAAGAAAGTTAAATGTGAGGTGTTTCACCAGACTGCTGAGCTTCACATCACCAAAGGCTTCACATGGATTCATCTCAGTGATGTGTGATGTCATCTCCAAGCGTTATTTGCAGCTACAGAACTGATCCCATCAGTATCAGGATATTAATGAGTGTTAACATGAATGAATATTTGGAGGCAGAAGTCTCAGAGACTGATATCTGAAAGCCTCAGCAGATTAAACCACTTGTGTCTACATAGCATGAGGGTAGGTGAGCCGTGGCATGTGTGTATGTGTGTGTCTGTGTCTGTGTGAAAAAGAATGACAGAGAGAGGGGAAGAGAAGGTGGAAGGTAGACTATTGCACACAACGTTTCTGTAAGTTACTATTAACTTACTCAGGACGCTGTTTTGTATATTTTTCTAGTAAGTTTACCCAAACCCGCCTTTTCACTATATAATAAGCTGACAAATGGATTAATAATATCTTTAGTAGGCCTCCCTCATGTCAAATTTGGGGTTGAGAAATAATTCCTAATAAAATTATTTCCATCTCAACTGTTTTGGCTGTTGCTTCATTATAGGAATTAAAAAAAAACAAGATGTGAAATACTGTAGTGCATTTTTTTTTCACCTCCTCACATTTTCTAAGGATGCATTCACACTGGCGATTCGGTCCTCTTTAAACGAACCCTGGTCCGCTTCCACGGATAGTTCAGTTCGTTTGGAGTGGTGTGAACGCTCATTTGAACTCTGGTGCGGACCAAACTTGAAAACTGGGGGTCTTGGTTCACTTGCAAGTGAACCCTGGTGCGGTTTGGTTACAGCTTTTAGGTGGAAAAAGAACAAAGCCAACTGCGTGAACCAGGAGAAGCAGAGGTAAAAAAACAGAAAAGTTGGAAAATGTCTCATGGGCAGATGTGTACTAGTGAGGAAGTGCAGGCGCTTACCCCAGGTCTGCATAGATTTGGTGTTGCGCCATTGTTTTTCTGGTGACCAAGCCAGCTGAAGGGGATGGCCAATCAATGAGCCGGGTTTTCTTCTTCCTCATGCTTTTTCTCTTCCTGGTCAGTGGTCGTTTCAGGCAATACTGCCCCCAAATGAGCAATGAGCAGCTGTTGTAACTTGTTGTCCCAGGCGGTTTGGTCTGCTTTAAAAAGTGCAGTGGGAAAGTGAACCGAACCAAATGAAGGTGTGACATTTTTCTGCATTTCCCGCCCAAAAGAACTATACCAGACTATCCTGGTGTGATTGTGCCCTAAGTTAATTGATATACTTCAGGCTAGATGGAAAGCTTTGACAGAAGTCAAATATAATATTCATAACTGTGTTTTCATTACATTATAATCACTTGAAACTAAGAATCATTGTGTTTTCATTACCTTGTAGGCCATTTATATCTACATACTGAGGGGGTCTCCCACGCAGTCAACCATGTAGACAAATAATGTCTTTTTGCAACCCCTCGTGGGTTTGCTGCTTATGGCCAGATCAGCAAAAGAGAGATTTTTGTGTTGATTTAATAATTTGCAAAGCCCCAATGAAGTAAAATCATCCAGTAACTCACAAGAAGAAAAGCAGCAATTAAAGCAAAGAGTGAAAACATTACTGAGAATATGCTAATTATAATCATATTGATAAATTTGATACAAGAGGCAACAAAACCAATCATAACAACAAATTGGTTCTTCCATGTTAAAAAAAATTGTAATTCTTTTCAGTAATTGCCACTGCTTATGGATAACATACAAACATACCTTTACATAGAAAAGACATCACTGAGCTGCTTAAAGACTGCCTTGTAAGATAATTAAGTCCTTCTTGTGTTAACTGTGTCATAGTTTGTCAGTGATCCTGCCAAGACAGCTTAAAATGAAATCAGTCAAGGGAAACCACAGCAGTCTGGCATTTTATTTCTAATTTATTTATTTACTTTAAGTTGCAGTTTGGTCGTAACACAATGGGCAGAGCTGCAACAGCTGCATCTGCTGGTTACTATGAGAAAGTCACTGTGGTGGTTGTAAAATGTTTTTCTTATGACAGCAGAATATAGACAGACTGTAGAGGTATGCAGATCAGTTTGGTTGGTTTATTTTAAAGCTCCTAGCTGTGTACATGTACCTGGAGTAAAAATAGCCACTCGTGTTTATTTTAAGCTGTAGGATTAGACTTTGCAAAGTCACAGAAAGCACATGCACAGTAATCATCTCGACCAAGTCACACTGCAGACCTTAATTTGTGCCATAATTTCCTCGACTTGCCTTTGCATTCACTTTCTTTATTCTGATACTGCAAAGATAGATTGTGGCTGTCACAACCAATTTAAAGCTGCTCTGGCGTTTCATTTAGCCAAGTGTCCCGAGGCATGGACAAGTATATTTAGTATAATGCATCAGACATCACTATGGGACTGAGTATATCTGCTGCATTCTTTTCTTTGAGATATGCTGCACAGGCATTGACTCGTCTGACTGCTGTAATGGGTTTAGTGAAATCATAAACTGACGGTTTTATTAACCCAGATTTGAGTCACCACCATACTGCCACTCAAACTGCTACTGCTGCATGGTTTTTTGTCTTGTTGCAATTTTTGATAT